CCTCATTGGCCGATCTCCGCGGCCAATAGTCTCGGGGCAAGCGCGGTGCCATCCCACAGACAACCAATCAGCGAAAAGTTTCTTCCGGCGAAGCCACCAATAGCGAGGCGCAGCAGCGCTGCCCAATGAGCCGAGCCCTACTTTGGGGAGGTTATAAAAAGGCTGGGTGGGCGGCCTCTCGCCCCACTTCGTCGCGGCGCTCCGGAGGAGAGGGGTCAGTGCCCACAGCGGACCGAGGCGCCATGTCTGGCCGTGGCAAGAGCGGCGGTAAGGCCCGAGCGAAGGCCAAATCTCGCTCGTCCCGGGCCGGGCTGCAGTTCCCCGTCGGGCGCGTTCACCGGCTGCTGCGGCGCGGGCACTACGCGGAGCGGGTGGGGGCCGGCGCCCCCGTTTACCTCGCCGCCGTGCTGGAGTACCTGACGGCCGAGATCCTGGAGCTGGCGGGCAACGCGGCCCGCGACAACAAGAAGACGCGCATCATCCCCCGTCACCTCCAGCTCGCCGTCCGCAACGACGAGGAGCTCAACAAGCTGCTGGGCGGCGTCACCATCGCTCAGGGCGGCGTCCTGCCCAACATCCAGGCCGTGCTGCTGCCCAAGAAGACCAGCGGCGGCGGCGGCGCGGGCCCCAGCAAGGCCGGCAAGAAGGGCGGCGGGCAGCAGTCGCAGGAGTACTAAGCCGGCCGGTCCCCCCGGCACCACACAAAGGCCCTTTTCAGGGCCACCCCCATTGCTCAGCGGGAGAGCTGCGATCCGCGGAGGAGGGCGGGGGGAGCGGGAGGAGGGCGGTATGGACACCCGCAGCGGGCTTGAGTCCGGTCAGAAAAGCTGAACAGGCGAGCTGTTCCATAAACACTTACACTTACGCCTGGGTGCATGTAAATTCACTGTATTTATCGCCTGTTACATTCAGTGGACATTGCATAGAGAATAAAACAATGCTTCATTTTCAGACCGAGCCCCCAGTAAGGTGCCGTTCCAGCCTTTCTACCAAGGCACTGTAAGGCATGAGGCCTGCCAAGGGGAAGGCGACCCAGTACCGAAAAAGGGTACCTGGTTTCCAGTAAAAGGAAAGGGCTAACAGTTGCAGAGAAAGGCACAATATGCTGAATTAGGGCTTCCGCTTCAGCTCCCCCGTGACTGGCAGACACAGACGAATGACTGTCTCAGATTATCCTTGTAGGTAAGCATACAAGGGCAACTAGACTGGCTGTCCTCTTCCCCCTTTGTTACTGGCCAATTGACAAATTTGCATCTGATAACTGCAAACTTAATCCTTTACCTTAACTGAGACCTATCAGGGACACAGCATCTGTGCTACTTTGCTATGAGGAACCCAGTACGGGGAACCTAACCTTCCTCTTCACCATTCAGATAAGTGGACAGGCCCAAATAGTATTGGTGACTATTGAAAGTACTTTGGTACTCACAGTACAGCACTTCAGTACCATCACCTTGCGTCTCCGATGATTATCTGTAATGAGTGCCTTGTTCCTAAATGGAACAGGAGAACACTTTACAGTCTTTTCTCTTATTTTTTTGTTTTCAAAAAACTTCCTAGCTACAAGAATTGTTGAAAAAACTTCACAGAGACACTTTGCAATTTAGAGAAATGCAGAAGGGGACGAAAACCCCGAACAGCATAAACTACTCAAGTTAGGTAACTTAGTATTTCAAGTTTTTGTGCCCAAACATCAGATTAAGACCGGTGTGAATGGTTAAATAAATCCCTTCCTCCGAAGGAGGATGATAGCGTAGCTGCAAAGACTTGCTAGAGTCGCAGCAATCGCGCCGACCACACCGCAGGTTTAGCGGGCATCGTTGAGCTGCCTCGCCACGCTGAGGATATGCTTCGCTCCCTTGCTCAGAAGTAAACTAGCTAATTCAACACCGAGGTTCTCCGCAGCTTCCTGGGCCTGACCAGGGACATTCTTGGCTGTGATGCCAACATGCTGCACGTCGTCATTTGGTCCATCTTCATTCTGCAAACGTAAACACCCAAACGTAAGGCAGTGGGAAGGAGCGGGCAACGAATGGTTCGAGCCGCATGTGAAACAGGGTAGAATCTGTGGTCCGAGGAGCCTGAAGAACAGTGCACCGTTACCGTTTCCAAGGAACCAGGGCAAAAGTAACAGATTTCAAAAGGTCTGCTTTTGCCGTTCAGCTTCACATTTGGATTTTGAAGCCACCCACGTACCTGTTGGGGATAATGGACACTGGTCTGCATTGTCTCCCTCAGGCTATCGGAGCCATCCAAACTGTAGACTGCTCCTGTCAAATACAACTTGCAAAGGACGTACAGAAGGGATTAATACCACATTAACAAGCACAACCAGAAAGCGAACTACCCCCTTTTTTAAAAAAACCCCAAACAAACACGTAACACACAAAGCTAAGTCTGGAGGGGGAAGGCTTTTGTAGCACAGTGGGATCAGCAAGAATAGCGGTACAATAAAACTGTAAGAAAAGCGATCCCTGTTAGGGAAGAGGCGACTTCCCAAGGAAAAGGCTGAACTTTTTTCTAGCTTCCCACCTCCTTAATCACGCTCCATTGTGTAAAAACACCTGATTTTCTGGGGTCAGAAGTGAGACTTTCAGATCTCAGGGCAACACTACCTTTAAAGAAGAGAGGGAGGTGGAATTCTGGTACTTATAATAAGGGCGTTTTCTAGAAACCTCAGCTTCAGTAGCCGGACCCATTCTCATACTCCCGCTTTGGACACAAACCCAGAAGGCTCCAGTCAGGAGCCTATAAAGATATCTGCTGGAGTTACCTTCAGGGAAGGGTCAGGGGACACGCACGCACCGGAACAGGTTTTCAGAAATAATGCCAGGTATATACCAAGTACTCCTCACCTGGCCATCTTTCAGCACGGTGTTGACGGCGACAGGGACGCTACATCCACCCTCCTAAAACAGAAAGCCGCCGACACTGAGGCTCTGGCCCGACAATTTCAAAGCAGAGGCCTCTGAAAAGTTTAGGCTGCACACAACCCCGCCTACCGCTCCTCAGGCCCTTCTCGATTCAGAAGTAATTTCTACTCAGCGGTTTTAGGAAAGCGTAACAGGTTTCCCATACTATGGCATCTGGTCAACTAGCAGAGCGGTATTTACTGCTGCAGGCAGAGGAGTGAGGATGCCACACCTACCAAACGTTTCATAAAGGCTCTCTCAGCAATGCAGCATAACACGGTGTCTGCATCATGCAGGGCAGATACCATATTCAGTATCTCTTGGTCTTTGGCACGAACTTCCACTGCTAAGGCACCCTACAAGAAGAAAAAAGAAACACACAACCTAATAATTATTCCTCGACTTCATGCATCTCTGTGTGCACTCAGCATCGGTTAGGAAACAGAATTCAGAGGCTTGGATGCATTTCACTACGGCAGTGATGTTCAGACGTTGACAGAAATGAATTACAAAACAACCCACTGGTTGCAGAGACATCCTATAGCAGCTGCTGTAAAGGGAAGATTGGAACTTACCTCCGCTGAGTGTTCAAGACCACGCTGTCACGTCAAACCACTCTAGGGCCCCTCTCAGCTACGATTGCATATATAGAAACACCCGCCCCAATGTCCCTTCGTGGCAAGAAGGCTGGATAAATCCAAGCTTCCCAACCTTATCTCAAGATAAAGATCAAGTACTGAATGACTAAAAGTGACAAAATAATTCCTTCCCAAACAGGAAACAAGAGGGGGTGGGTGGGAAGGAACTGCACAGTACCCGACAAATGCAGGATCAAAATCCCTGTTTCGGACTAATTTTGCAGATTTGTCGCTCGCGATCACTAATGCATAGCCAGCTCGGGTTTCGCGAGTTCGACACCCACTGTGCAGCACTGTGTAAACTCAGCCACACGACCCGCACCGGCCGGAACCTTCTGCCTGCCTAGAAAGGAGCATCAACAATGTGCTCCAAGGCAGGTGTTTGAGCTCCACCCTGTGGGAGTTAGGACACCGTGCACGAGGGAGAAAGAAGGAGCATCACAGGGTAAAGATACTGCGGTGGCTCTGCACCATTACCCTGGCACAGTGCAACACGGACCCTGCCAGAGCCTGCCCTGTATCTGCCGCGTCGCGCCAATGTAGTCGTGCCACACTTCACCTTCACCACGTACCGTTCTTTCCATTACTGACGGAAATCAGCCCCCACCGCACCGGGTAACAGAGCTGACTACCATTGTTCCCACATGCTGTGCCTAAAACAGCGTAACGGCCAACAAGAGAGATCGATGTAGTAGTTCTTTGGCAACCAACACACGAGACGTACTCGGCACAATTAACCGCTCTGACACATCGTACTGCTGCCAGCTTTCAATACGCGGTACGGGTTATGATACAAAAGTTGTAACGTACCTGTCCAACAGCGTACAGACAGTCTTCGGGGCTTAGGAGCTGGAATAAAGTAAATCACAGTCAACTCAAGTTGCACTGTTCAGAATACAGGGAGCGAGACCCAAATTCTGTGCTTATTTTTAACACCGATTGATTACGTGCCTGACCAAGGAAGTATCACCTCCCCCTTCCCATGCCTCAGCGTTTCCACCCGTAAAGTAAGATAATGCGCTTTCCTTCACCCGCACCGTAACGCTTTGTGAATTAGCTCATCAGAAAAATCTTGGTCACGCACACTGCTGCGTTGCTAGACGCAAGTATTGTGAAATGCTGGGAGACGATCAGATTACAAACTGTTACTGCACCATGGAAAGCTGAAGCGCAGAAATTTCTGTACAAAGAAAACAAAACCAACCAACCAACAAAAAAATCCTCCTTGAAGTGCACCAAATCACGAGTTAATGTGGCAACAGACTGCGTGCTCATCTTTGACAGGACAACCGCAAGGTCTGAAAGGCAAGCCGTTGATGGTTCGACAGAGAATGGCATTGTCCGTTTTGCTGCTCCTCACCTGGCCAATGCGATTCTCCCAGCCCATTCTCTTCAGCCCAGCAGCAGCCAGGATGATGGCACTGAAGTCTTCCTTCTCGTCTAGCTTCTTCAAGCGGGTATTTAAATTCCCTCTCTGTAGAAGTGATTAAGCAAGCATAGAAACAGCAGGCAAAGAGTCCTATAACCACTCAACACTTGCCTGAGTGCGTTTACAGAACCTACAGAATCCAACGGCCTCCAAATGAGAATCAGAGTACCCGAAAGAAGCGTTCAATATGGACGCTTCTTTATTTAAATAGAATTTTGCCGAGCATTATGGAATGTCAATTCAGGCACTGACTCTCACGCGTGCCAAGTACATTATTAACACCCGACACCAACTCCTTTTGTATAGCAAAGAATGAAGTCTGAAGTAACTGTGCCTTTTACCACTAGTTCAGCAGCCCACATCAGAACTGGCGACCCAAATCGCATCCGTGGTATTGGGAACGGATAGTGATTTCGCTGCATCGCCGCCCAAACACACGGTAGGCACCCATCAAACAGTTTTTCAAGTGTTCCTTAACATAAAAATTCACCTGCATCTTGAATCTCAGCTAGATTAAGGCTGCCCCCTTCTTTACAGCCTCACGAGAAAGCAGAGGGCAGAATGGACTACGGTACGCTACACACCCCTCTCGGAACAGGTTAGTGGAGGGAAGCCTTTGAGGCAGCAGTTTGTTCTTGTAGCTCTGGTGGTATCAATCAGCCTTGATTCCGGATTTCACATTAAGTTATATTTTCCTATTTGCAGCTTTACCCAGGTCCCGCATTCTGCCACAAAAGGATACAATATCCCTGAATTCTAGCTGAGGAAACT